ATCAGGTTCCTGGTGATTAATAATCACACCACAACTGGTGGTCTTTATTTGGGGAATTACTGATACTCTGATTACACTCATCTTTGACTCCTAATGTGAGAGCCAAATGTGGGAAATGCTATGGACTAGTAAAAAAAAATATTTGTGGTTTAAAAAGTTTTATTACAAGATTGTTAAGCACATTCTTACTTGCTGTCTCACCAAGTTAGCTTGGGTAACTGGGGCAGAGTGCCAAAGAAGTCAAAATTGTCTTTGTTTGCTGTGTTTTGTTTCACAGACATGGAGACTGAATCCAGGACCTTTGAACTGAGCCCTTTTTTTTGTTTTGTTTTAAGGGCTAAGTTAAGAACTTGCATTCTTTCTGCCTCAGCCTCCATTATCGTAATGCTGGTATTGCAGGCATTACCACAACTGGTTCAGAGTCACAACCGTTCCCACCCCTTGCTAGATCCAGACTGAGCCATCAGAGCCTGCAGACCAGGGGGTGCCATGGTGGAGGCAGGACAGAGCCCGTGGCCGCACCCTGCCCATTCTAGCGCTGCTGAGTGTGATCATCCTGCAAACGCCTCCATTCCCTGCCATTCCCTGGACTGACTAAAAGCACTTAAGAGCTTCCCTCGTGTGAAGGAAAATATGACTTTATTCTTGTACTTATCTTTTCTCCTGAATATGCACTGCAGTCCTTTTGCTTCCCTGGGCTACGTAATGTATTATTTCTCTCTTCTGAATGATCGCTCTGAATTATTGACAATAATAGAGAGAAGACCTTAAGAAGAGAGATAATTAGGTGACTTATACTGTATTAAAGCACTTCATGGATGGAGAAGTGATAATGTTTTCTTAACAGAATAGCTACTCTACAGCTGCTGTGCGGCCCAGGAGATAAACTCTGCTTCTGCTCGGCCCATAGTATCTAAACTCTGGAATCACACGGCGCCTATCTCCTGCCCAGCACAGCACTCGAATGGCCTGACGCTTGACAAAATCCCACCTATTCGCTTCCAGACTTGTTTATGCCAGAAGAACTCATTCCCTAACTCAGTGATGAAGTGTTGTGTAAACTGGTGAAAAGCAGGCCCTAGGTTGTGAGGCCAACAACAATCCAAGTTCAGTGCTTTAGAACAAATTGATAAATTCACATGCTCAAAGCTCTTGCTAAATTGAGTGACTGATTAGGGAATAAAAAGACAAAGAGTACAATTAGAAGTGGAAACTGTAAGCAATTGCTCGTGGACTTGCTTTCTTGTTAGGAAGACTCCAAGCCATGTCAGTGACATGGCATTGGGGCAATATCAGACACAATAAATTAAAAGTTATACTTACTATTTTAATTTAAACAGAAACATTTAAAGTCTGACACCACACACACACACACACACACACACACACACACACACAGAGAGTTTCCTCTGCCACTTTGGTCAACTGTTTCAATTGTGTTTCCTAGTACCGGCGCTGGACTGGTCAGAAAGTGTTCACTTTAAGTGACCAGTCTACAAATACCAGCCGCCTCCTGCAGGGGCTGACATTCTTATGACATTCTCATGTGCAACAAAGATTTCAGCTGGTTTCCAAATGTCAGTGACAGACTCACCGCGCAGGTCCTAGAACTTTCTGGGTGGCAAGAGGAGACTCGTGTCAAGTGAAGCGTGCATCTGGGGTCCGCTGGGAGGGGGAAACCTCAGGGCTGAGCCCGGATACTCCACACAGTGTAAGAAAAGCCCAACGTCACCCACATCTCCCACCTCTTCAGCTGTGGTGCTGAATCCGTGCATTGGGACACCAGAAGAGTAGAAGCCTCATCGGTCACAGCAGGGTAGTGTAAGGCCAGGAAAGAGATCCAGCATGGACAGCAACGGAACACAAGCTCTGAAATCTCTTCCCACACTAAGGAACAAACGCAAGGCTGCCCTCCAGCTAATACTCACCGGATTGACTCACTGCAACTACTACCGTCTTTCACCACTAGAGGGCAACACTGTTCCTAAAAATGAGGGTGTTTTTGCAGAGCTAAGAAATCACAAAAGGAATTTCTGAGCTGGAAATGGTTTTAAAAATCATTTGGCCCACTGGTTTTCAAAACTTTTAAAAAAGCTGTAACCCACATCAAGAACAGTTCCTCATCGCAGCCTCATTCACGCATATATATTTGGAACACATTTCGAGGCATAGCTTACCCTGGCTTCTGTAGCACACTCAAAATTTATATTCTGAATGACTTCACTAAAAAAATAATAAAACAGGGCAAGGGGGCTAAGCGTGTGTGTTCCTAGCATGGATTCTGGGTTCAATCTCCAGTACCAAGAAATAAAACAAATGGACCCTGTTAAATGGGCTGCATTACTCACAAGTAGACTCCTAGTTTGAAAAGCCAAAGCCCCAATTCTTAACTTAAAAAGGAAAGTGGTAACCCCTAGAATGGGGAGGAACCTCCACTTCTCCTACCCACGCAACCACCCACCCCGGCAGGGTCTTCATGGTGGTGGTAGACACTGCATTGCTACTGAGTACTCATCCTGTCAAGGTTGAATAGTGTGCAAACCTGAATTTGGGGGTTCTGATGGTTTTCCCTCTTTCCAGGGCTGTGGCTACTCCTGTAACTGAAGCAGACATTGCTTTCAGCTGCTGCCCTCAGAGCACCACTCAGCCCACTTCTGTCATCTTCACCCAGGCAGCTGTGGACTTCAAAAGTAAGTGAATCTCAATGAAACCTTTTCAGATGTTCCCACCTCAGTTTAAGTAAGGGCCACAATATCTAACCTAGAGCTTAACACAAAGTAGATGCTCAAGAAATAGCAGAGGAATGAGCTGCCCCTCAGCAAGTGTGGTGGTAACTTTCATTTTTCTACTTTACAATTGGTGCATGTATCACTTCATAGACTTAAACCACTGGTACTGCTGGCTGAACAATGTTTCTGTTCCAAATGGGGAGAGAGCCAGAAAGACATACAACCTTCTCTAACTTGTTCGGTTCATTGGAAGCTAAGCACTGAGGCTCCCCACAACACTCCACAGCTGTGTGCCCTATTCCAGAAAGCCCACGGAGGACGCCCGTGGACATCAGCACTCATTTCTAGCCGCTCTGCCTTGTCTCTGCTACTGTGCCTGTGGCAGATTTAACACCTCCTGCACTGGGCTGGCTGATGCCTCTTGGAGCTTGGCCTTTCTTTAGTGATGAGGTTCGGAGGACAACAAGGAATGGAGGAAAAACAACTTCACTACATTCCTGGGGGAAACTGAAATTGTTCTAGTCCACAAGATTCTGGTCACTGACCACTTTTTCCATGGCTCTCATAACCACATAGCTCATAAAATCAGGGAGGAAATGGAAAGGTTGGAAACTGGTTGTCAGTAGAAAAACGATCATTTCTCAGTGTCAGTGTCCCAGCATTCTCCTACTTCTCCGTCTACTCCTTCTCTCCCTGTGCACATCTGCCTAACTCATCTATTTCCTTGTTTTATGTAAGGGAGGATCTTTTAACACTTACGAAGATTACACTATTACAGATGAAAAAAATCTTCATGTAAGTGAAAGAGAATCAGTCTCTACTGAACTTACTCAGGTTTGAAAGCTGGTTTGATTTTTTTGTGGAAGATGCTAATTGTTTAAAAGTTTTTCTTTTTTCTTTTTCTTTTTCTTTTTTTTTTTTTTTTTTGGATCTTTTTCCTTTTTATTGGTACCAGGGATCGAACTCACGACTGCCTGCTTGTAAGGCAGGCTCTTATGCCTCTGAGCTAAATCCCCAGCCCCTTAAATTTTCCAAAGGGACTCACCAAGTGTATGAAAATGCAAAGCATTTTATTTTTTCTTTTAAAAATGGTCATGGAAGGAAGACAAATCCATGGAATTGAAACACTAGGATACGTTAGAAACGGGGTTTGGTTTTCCGTAAGGGTTCTCCCCTTGGGGATGGGGGAAACACACCCGGGGCCCTGTGTAGGCTTGGGAGGCGGCTGCCTGGACTCTCTCACTTTGATGGAAAGCTTGCAAATGCTGTCCTCCACTCCTCTGCTGGGCTCAGATGGCAAAGACAATTAAAAATAGGTAAGGAGAAAAGTTTGCCTTTGCCTAGGAACAATTTAAGCTTTCAGTAAATTCAACCCTGTTGGGTGCAGGAATAAGTCTTTGAAGAACCAACAACGAGCTTCCAAAGTGCCTTTTCCAGCCATGCTTGATACCTGGGCTAGGGGAGTCTTAAATAGAAAATCCTGCCTGGCTCTCTCTAAAACGTCACCTGTTTACGCCCCATGCTCAGTTCTACTTTCTTTGCGACTGGGTGTCTGCAGGTTTTGTGGAATACTTGGAGGTTGCTAGGAGGATGCACTGTTGCTTTGAGGACAGAATAGTGACACTAGTTTTGTACTGTGTGATGAAGACAACAGTATACCTTTACACAGAACAATGCCTACCAGATACCTTGGTGTGAGCATACAATCAACGGGGTGTGACGTTTTCATCTTTCAACGCATACAGAAAACTAAGCCCTTGTCCACTGACATCAGGTCTCACTCGCGTTCAATGAGGCAGAGTTAGCACTACAAAGTTCCCTCCGCCTAGACAAGTAAGTGTAAATCTCAGCCACAGTAGCGCGAAGCCTTTGTGCGGTGGGCGAGGTGGCCTACGTAACAAGAGGCAGGGGCAGCTCGCTGCGGTCAGGCCCAAGGCCTGTGGGCGCCACAGGTGGGGTGCATCAGCAGGGGCGACCCCTACAGGAACCAATTCTGCATACCCTCAGGCAAGATTAAGTGCTGTCCTTGGGCCAGTTACTTAATGTCCCCAGGCATTTCTCACTCTGACATGAGAGCTGTCAGGAGTCCTGGCGCGTAAAACAATCCATGGCACCGTAAACGTCGGAAGAACGGCCAGCAGTCGGTGCGCTCTGCCCCCTGACGGCCCTCCACGCCCCGGACACTCGCCACTTGCGCCCCAGGTCCCCGGGCCGGTGCCACAGCCTCGCCGCCCCGCCGCGCCCCGCCCCGTCCCGTCCCGCCGCACTCACCCACACGCGGCCCTGCTGCAGGGCTTCCAGCACTCGCAGGGCGCTGGGCGAGCCGGCGCGGAAATTGAAGAAGTGCAGCGCCGCGCGCGCCGCCTGCTGTAGGAGCGCGCGCGGGAGCCTCGCCTCCCGGAGCTGCTCGGGGCCCGCGGGCTCCCCCGGCCCCGCGGGCATGGTCGCCGCGCCCTGGAGGGCGAGCAGCAGCAGCAGCGCGAGCTGCCCGGTAGCCGGACGCCGGGCCCCCGGCCGGGGCGCGGACGGCTGGAGCCGACGGGGCTGCATGGACGCGGGCTGGACGCGGACGGGCTGGCGTGGCGCGCGAGCGACCCGGGCTCCCGGCGGGCGGCGCCGCGCTCGGGCAAATAAGGCCGCGTGGCCCCACCCCTCCGCCCCGGGGGCCGGCGGCTGAGAGCCGGGGTCGCCGCCCGGACAGGGCGGCGCCTGTGTGAGGCCGAGGGTCGGCCCCGGCCTGGCGGGAGGAGGGCCGGGGCGGTGGGGCCGCCTCTCTCGCGGAGCCCGGCGCCACCCGCACGCGGCCCCCAGCCCAGCCTAGCACCCACTTCTCCCCGAGGTTGCTGCGATTTCATAACCCCGGGGTTTTGGAGAGAACCCGCTTTTGTTCTTCAGGGGCTGAGGTTGCGATTTCCCTGCAGGTGAAAGAGGGGACAGGTGGCGAAAAGAGCGAGAGACAGCAGGTTTCAGTGGTGGTCACTGTGCCTGAGACCTCTGGGGCGGAGGAAGTCGCCAGAGGGCTTGGATTGGGGAGCCCAGGACGCTGCAGGAAGGCCGGGCAGGTGTGCGCACCGCCCCTGGGGCGAGGGACCCGAGGGCCGCCCAGAGTGCGGGGAGACCTCGAGAAACAAGTAGGCCACTGGCCTCCCCAGCTGCCTGGCTGCGGGATGGAAGCTGGATTCCAGCGGGGCGTGGTGGGGCTGGGGCTTTGGGAAGTGGAAGCAGGGTGTTGACAACCCTTTTCAGACTCTTGGCAGGGAAGGGGCAAGGTAAGCACTATTTTTAAACCAGACAGGAGAAAAAGCCCTGGAGAACCAGGGATCAGGCAGTATAATCAGCCTAGGGGCCAGAGGTTCAGGCATCTCCAGCACCTGCTGTGGGGCTAAAATAAATTCTTTCTCCCCCTCCCCCCAGTAACTGTTGAGGTCCATCATGTGATTCTGGTTGCTGCACTGACCAAAGCTAGGGGGCATGGGGTGCAATCTCTGAAACCGCCCCCCTCCCTTCCCTTGTTTCTTGGGGCTATCCTGCATGTACCACTTGGCTTTTCTTCCTCTGCAGGTATTTGAAGGGCACCTGCTATGCTAGGGGAACCAGGGTGAGCCATCAGATGCACATCTCTGAGCTCCAGCAGCATGTACCAGGCAGATGCAGCCCAGATGATGAGAGACACCCGCCATCAAGAGAATGCACCCTGAGTTGAACCCAGCTACACACTTTGGAAACTATGAAGGCAGAAGGAGGACAGGGAGGTGGGAGATGGGTGTCATCTTACACAGTAGTCAGACTGGGGCAGGCCCCTGTGGGAAGGGAGATTTGAGTGGGGACCTGAGAAAGTGGGGTGTGTAGGGAGAGTAGGGGTGGTGGAGGGAACGGCAGGTGCAGAGGCCTGGACCTGGAGTCCATGAAGCTTCCCCTCTTCCTGAGGGGAAGAGAGGGGCATAAAGCCTGGGCAGCTCTGGCAAGTCTGAATGTGCTATCTGGAAGTGTGGCCCCATCTTGCCAGCGGCCTGAGAATGGAGCCCCCTGGCAGAGCTGGAAGGAGCAGGACCCTGGTATTCCCAGGACGTTGTTGACTGCCTGCGTCTCCTGATTCTGGGGCTCACTGCTTACTGGTCGTTGGAGTTTTGTTTCTTGTCCTCAGAGGCAGCCTAACATAGGTCATTATCTCCCCAAATCCGGTCATCTCAGCTGGCAAGTTACATTATTGGGCTCTTGAGAATTCTTCACATCCAGGTTATATAGAGATTAAAAATTTCCTTATTTTACTTTAGTGCTTTGTCCCTAATGGGTGCAGTAGGCTGTGTCAGTGGCAGGAAACCCAATTAGCAATGTGGATTCTTCGGTGCTCTAGAGTGGGAGGTCTGAGGGATGTGTTTTTCTGAAGGATCTGGGCACTCTCTGTCCTGCATAGCTGTCCTCGATTGCTTGGTTTTTTATCTGGTGGCTTCATGACTGTAGGATGGTTGCCACAGCTCCACACATCACATCCTCACGTGCTGAAGCCAAAGGCAGATAGTAGGAAATAGATTGCCAGTCAAGGTGCACTTGTTCTGGTTTGCTTTTTTTCACCAGAGAAGAAAAATATTTTTTAGACTATCTTCCTTCACGCTGTTCTGCACTTCCCTCCTATCTCATTGACCAGCACTGGGCTGCACTAGCAAATGTGCCTAAGCAAGGCTAGAAAAGTAAGTGTCTGCCTTTTTTTTAGCCCCCATTGTAGTAGTCTATTCTATAAGACAGGATTAAATTTAACAGCATAGAACAAAAACCAAAATGACAGGACAGAGACATTTCCTGTGTAATAGATGTTGGGGAGCAGTCATCAATTTGTGGTTGATACTGGTGGATCCATGAAGTTACTAGGGTGCAAGCTTTCTCTCAATCCCTACTCCTGCATCCTGGGTGTTCTCCAAGTCCACAGTAAGCTCTGGCCATTACCAAGGGCTCCCTTTTCTGGATTTTTTAAGTCTCACGGGGCAAGAACCCAGTCATAGTCTTAGTTGCTAAGGAAGATAGGAAATGAAGTTTTTGTGTGTCAGAATAGAAGTCAGGATTTTGTTGTTAGGGAAGATTTGTTTTATGTTGGAGCCTTGGAAGCAGGCAAATGTTTGCAGATGCTTTGTGAAGGACCTGCTCCCCGAGAACCCAGTCAGTAACTAGGAAGGTGGCAGAGCAGGGATTCCGGAGTGGTGGGAAGGGTAGACTCAGCCTGGCCTGCAGGGGCGCTCCAGACTGAATTACCCACAGACCTGTGTCCTCCAGGGAGGGGCGTGGCCTTCCGTCCTTCCATGCCCCTCAGTCACTGACTAATGCCTCTCCTGAGTGATACAAGGCATTTCAGCTTTCAGTGGGTAGTGGAAAGGGGGACAAGAAGAGCTCCCTGGCAAGACTGCCAGAACCTCAGGGTGAAGCAAAGCATGCCAGGCGACAGAGGCAGATTCGGGGAAGCAGACCTCTGCAGAGCCCCAGTGGGTTGGCCCAGGGGTGATGAGAGTGAGGGGAGCAGCGCCCTGGAGCTCACAGACAAGGGAGGAGGTGAGGATGTGGCTGGGGGGGGGCACCAGTGCTGGCTTTGGAGTGCGTTGTAAGTAGTGATAACAGTCACAGTTGGGTGGCTCCAGACCAATGGAGAAAGCAGCTTTTAATTTTGAAAATTACAGCTTTCATTGTATAAGCAGATTTTTCTGGAACACGGTATTTCCTTCTTGTGATGTTTACATTCTTTGTCCATTTCTCACTGGGGCTTTTGGGTTTCTGATAGATTTGTGGATCCCCATCGAGTACTAGGGAGTTAGGTCTCAGTCCATCACATGTGTCATTACCATTTTTTTCTCAGTTCATGTGCACTGTGTTTACTTTCTTCCGTGTGGGAAGCCGCCTGAGATGGCGCCCATTTCCTGCTTCCGGGTTCTTCCCGGCCTGAACAAGCCCGCCAAATTGTCATGTCTGCCCAGTTACCCGTGACGCTAGCCTATCAGCTTGTTAGACGCGCTTCTCTGTGATTGGATACTGCTTCCCCTTATAAGAGGTTGTTCCTGCCCCCAACGGGCGGAAGAGGAACCAACACTGAGGGTGGCGGACCTTGTTAGGTCCGGTTCGCTGTACGCAATAAAGTTTGAGAGCTGATCCTGCTCGAGTTTGGTCTCCTGTCTCCCGCGGCTCCAGTCACTTCCGCACTAAATAAGAGGCCCTTTTTCCTGTCCTCATCATGGTCTGAGAAGTTTATATTTCTTTTTCCTTTTTATCGGTACCGGGGATCAAACTCATGACTGCCTGCTTCCAAGGCAGGCACTCAGGCCGCTGAGCTAAACCTCCAGCCCCGAAGTTTATATTTCTAATCCAATGGAAAAGTTACTGGAATCCTGGTGAGTTAATTCTGATCTACCACCTCCAGTGCAACCCCCAGTGAGGATACATACACAGAGACATAGTTATAGTTAAGGGCAGCCAAGGGGTCCGGAGTTCGGTCCAGGTGAGGGTTCATGGAACAAAAGCCTCTACTCAGTGCCTAATCCAGATTTTATTAATTCATGAAGAAGAGATTGGCTAAGGATGAGTGACTGTGAGAATGGCAGGAGTTATGTGAGTACTGTGAGCTGGGCTACCTAGGAGACTAGAAATCACCTCTGTAATATGCAGTGAGAAGGATATGCAGAAAGGCCAATCTGCATAACACAATTGAGGTAGGACTTAATTTTTGGGAGGCTGTGCAGACTTTTGAAGTGCAGACTTTTGTGTCCTGGGAAGTCACAGCCTCTTATCTTGCTCAAACCCAGTTGACAGTCTTAGAGTGTTGGCTTTGGCATCTTTCTGGGCTCAATAGTTTGGAGGGAGGCACTGAGGTGAGGAGACAGGGCTGTCACTTAGCTTCAAAGATTATGCATCAGCATCTCAGGCAGCCCTATTTACATTGCTTAGAGCGAATTGAAGGGAAAAGGGAACAGCTTAGCCACTCTGTAAGTATCAGCACAAGGAAAGAGGGCCAGGTTTAGCTAAAGTGGAGGTAATGGCTCTGGTCGTCCACAGCTGAACATTGTGTATGGTGATACTGTTAATTACATGACATGTTCTCCAAAGGGTTCTCCAGAGGAGTAGCCTGTGGCCCAGACTACTCCTCCTAGGAGTTGTCTGGAGGCCTCCTCACAGGAATGGGGGAGGCCTTAGCCAAGAAGTTCCTCCTGCAGATGTATTTCCCATAAGTGTAAATTTCTAGTTTGGTTCCCAGTTCTTTACCTGTTGCTCAGATAACCAGTTAACATTAAAATTTTTTTTTATTTTAAAGAGAATAAAACAAAACAACAAAGCAAATCAGAACAGAACAATGCGAACAACACAGAACTTCATAACAAGACAACAGGAAATCAGTAGTGGCTACCATAATGTCTCTTTTCTTTGAAATAGTTTTCCATATCTTCATACACAATAATATCAAACACAACAAAATAACATAAAACCAATAAAAAGAATGAAAGTATTATGGGACTTCAAAACCAGACAATAAGAAATTGACAATGGCTACCATAATGTCTCTTGGTCTCTTCAAAAAAACTGTCCATACTCCCATACACAATGAATTCAAATAATAGAAAACAGACTAAAACCAATCGAAACAAAAGAATGAAACATTATAGGATTTCAAAACCAGGTAATAGGAAATGAACAATGGTTACTGTAATGTCTCGTTTTTTTCAATATAGCTGGTCGTACCATCATACATAGCAAAACAGAATAAAACCAATTAAAAGAATGAAAGCATTATAGGACTTCAAAACAAGATAATAGGAAACCAACTGTGATTACCATAATATATCCCATTATGTTCAAAATAGCTGCCCATTCCATCAGATACAATAAAATCTAACAAAACAAGACAGAACGAAACCTAACAAGATTGTGAAAACAACAAGAGTTCAACACAAGACAATAAGACATTAACATTGGTTACACTTCCTCCTTTTAAGTGTTTCCTCCTCTATCACTTTTATAATATCTATTTATTTTGGACCCCACCAACACCTGCTTTTTATGCTTGGGTTCACCCATACGAATTTAAACTGTTTGCCCATGAACATGGCTTACAGTTACATCCATTTCCCTATAGAAGCCTCAAGATTATCCTACTTTATAGCTGGGTAACTTTCTACGGCATGGAAATATCATTTCTTTTCTTTTTTTAGCCATATCTTTGTCATCCCTTCTGTGGTTGATAGGCAAGTCACCCTTGCTTTTTTCTGGTCTCCTGTCATATGAAATAATTATTTTCCCCCCTTTGATTTTCATTCATGAATTTCCTTTCCAGTTAACCATGTTTCTTGTATGCAGTGTATTGATGGATCTTGTTTCTTAATCCACTCTCCCTGTGTTTTTTTTTATTGTTAAATTGAGGCTATCTCCATTAATGGTTACAACCAGCATACAATGACTCATCTCTGCCCTGCTGTCCTCCTGTTGTTGGTCCTCCACTTTCCCATTCATTCAGTTGCCTCTCTTGCTAGGCGATCCTCCTCTGCTGCTGTTCCGGAACCATGGTCAGCTTTATCTCTCTCTAACTTAGCACTCTAGGTAGGGTTGGTTTGGTGGTCATGAATTCCTTCAGTTGTTCTTTATTGTGGAAGTAGCTCATTTTTTTTAATCAACTTGGAAAGATAGTTTTTCAAGATAGATCAATCTAAGTTGGAAGTTATTTTCTTTCAGGATTTGAAATGCTTTATACCAAACTCTTCTTGACTTCATAGTTTGTGTTGACAAGTCTGCCATGATTCTAATTGGTTTTCCTTTATAGTGTTCTGTTTCTTTCCTCTAAAAGCTTTTAATATTCTTTTCTTGTGCTGAATTTCTGGGATTTTGATTATTATATGTCTGGGTGTAGATTTCCTTTGGTTATGGCTAGTTGGAGTCCTATATCGGACTCCAGATATACCAGATCCTTTTCCCATGTTTGAGAAGTTTTCTGCTATTACTTTTGTAAATGGCCTTTTTATTTCATTTGTGTTGACCCGTTTCTTCATTGATACCTATCATTCTTAAATTATTTCTCTTTGCATCATCTTGTAGCCACTGGATTGTTATTTCCTGGTTCCTTGTTATTTTTAAAAGAGCTTTCCTTTCATGATTGCTAGCTGCAATCCTGTTTTCACAGTCTGAACGTCTATCTTCAGTTTCTTTCAAGTGATTTTGCAGCTTTTGATGAACTTTTAAATTTCCTGGATATCTTTTTGAATCTGTTTCATGTATTGTAATTCCTTTGTATTTTGCTCATTCAAGATTTCCATCATTTTCTAATGCTCCTCTTTTTATCTATGTCTTCTTTAGATATGCTGAGCAATTCTTTCGTTATGTTTTTCATTTCTTTTACCTGAGATATTATTTCTGATGTGATTACTTTTACAGTCCCATGAAGTTGTTTCTTTGCTTCAGTTGTTATCCCTTCAGAGGTTTCAGGGGTATGACTTCCATTTTCTTTCACCAGTAACATTTTTATCTAGAGAACTTTGTGTTTTTAAAAAACATATTGGTGTATGAATCTGTAACAACGTTCATTTGTTCATTCATTTAAGGTGCTGGGGATTGGACTGAAGGCCTTGTGAATGCTGAGCAGGTTCTGTTATTGAGCCATAGCCCCAGCCCTAAGCTGTATTGACTTTTAATAAAAAAGATACTAGAGAAGGTGGTTGAGTAAATTGATAAGACCCATTTAGTGGGCTACTCAAAGTATGTATCAAAATTAGTGATGCCTCTTCAGAAATTCTGCCTTTAGAGTACATGATAATAATAAATTTGTATGTATGTATAAAGAAGTATATATGAGCATTCTCATTCCTTATGTGTACTGTAAACTACTTGAGGTTACAGAGATCAAACATCTCATTGTTCCACCTTGCTTAGAACAAAAGGTACCTGGCATGCGCAGCTCTACTAGTGTACCTATCTTTTGAAAGAGTGAACAGTAAAGGACTGGCATGGTTGAATAGTTGTAATAACTTCATATAGTACAACCATTAAGAAGGAGGTGGATCTGGGTGTGTTGTTAGGAAACCATCTTTAGCAAGGAGCAGAGCAGGGCAAACATGCTGCTGTTTTCCTGTATTTTCAACACATATATGATAACAGGGGTTTTCAGGTTCACAAGAACTGCAACTATAGGATATAAGACAGGAGTGGAAGAGAAATGTCATCTACCCTTTTGCAGTGGTTGATTTTGGGGTGTAATGTGTGCTACCTAGAATAAAAGAATAAATTTTTATCTTCTGGTAATCTGTATTACCCTATTCTATTCTAGGTAACTAAATAAATGAGATTTTTAAAAAATTTTGCAGTACTGGGGATTTAAACTAGAACCTTTGTAATAAGCTATATTACCCTTTTCTTTGACAGGGTCTTGCTAAATTACTCTGGCTGGGCTCACACTTGTGGTTCTTCTGCCTCATCTTAGCAGAATGCTGGGGTCATAGGCATGCATCACCATGCCTGGCTGCAATACGGGACTTCTGAGTACACTTCATGCTAATATCTCCCACGATAGAAAGGCCACCACTTGTACTGGAGCTTTATAATTCTGTCTGCCTTATTCACGATGCAGCTACTGCTTGTTTTCTTTCCTCTGAGTCAAACTTTCCATACTCTTCTTCTGTCTCAGGCCCAGTCATAGTTCCCCACATTAAAACTTCCAGGAAAGGAGGTGGTGAGTTCATTCGTATGTGGTGTGACTGCTGGAGCTCACATGCTGCTCCTCCTAGGTGTATTTTCATTGAAATATAGCCAGGCTCTTGAGGCCAGAGACCTGAGTTCTCACGCAGCTGACTGCAGCCATTGGCAGCTCTGCAGTGTGCTGAGCGAGGCACCCAGCTGCCCCTGAACATCTGTGCCTACCTGCCTCTTCCCACCCTGTGACAGAGAAACCAGAGAGCAGAGAAGAAGGGCTTGAAAAGGCTCTTATGCTTTATTTTCTCGACCATAAAGGCCACAGTCTAGGTGGCTTATACAAGATAAATGTATTTTCTCCTAGACTGGAAAATTGAAAGTCAGCAGGATCAAGGTGCCTGCTGATTCACTTTTGGGTGATTGTCCACTTCCAGGCTGGTCTTCCCACTGTGTCCTTCCATGGCAGAGGGAGAGGGGAAGCAAGC